GGGACAGAAGATAACTTATGGAGGAGTAACCGAACGAGAAGGCTGAGCTCAGGCCTTGCCAGTCGCAGTTGAGATAACGTGTGTGAAAACACGCTTCCCCTCGCTTGGGTTTCAGCTCCGTGGGGAGGTCTGTGTGCCTGTGGTCGGAAAATCCACGAGCACAGCAAGTACCCAACTGATGAGCCTGACGGTGAAGCACAGTCCTCTGACAAATTGGTCTCTCTGATGCTGGAGGACAACGCAGAGGAATGACCTTGGCTCAGCGATGTATATAAAAAGTTTGGCTTTGAAATTTGTTGGAAGCAAGGCTTTTAAATAGAGGGTGTGCGCACAGCTCTTCCCAGAGAGCTTTTAAAAATGCTACTGTAAATGAAGTTAGGAGGGTTTGTAAGCTCTTAAATCATTCAGGAGCCAGATCTTCCCACTCTTGACTTCTGAACAAATGGCTTCTTCGTCTCCAGAAGTTCCACACTGCAGCTCCGAATATAAATAGAAAATGAAATGCCATTATACGCTCTTTTAAAGCTTGGGTGAACATCAGAGACTGTGTTCCTAATGATACATGGGCAAATTGCTGCATCACAGATTTTAATGATGGATGTTTGCATTTAATTGGATACTTAAAGAATGTTGATAAATCTTTCGTTTTCAGCTTTTGAGTCTGTGAAAATATATAGTTGAAATGGTGAAAGGTGAGACCTGTACTTTATTCTGCGCTTTTCTGTGGGCATGACCTTGAGCAAGATATTGCTGATGAGCCCTTAAGGGGTGCTGGGTACTTCCAGCTCCCACTTCTGTCACCTGGAGCTTTGGAGCTCTTAGGAAAATGAAGACACTGACCTTGGTGCCAGTCTGCCAGAGTCTTACAACACTGACATTTTGGTGACTAAGAGGTCAGATGTGCAACTGCTTTTTTTGTCCAGCTCAGTGTCTGTCACAAGGCTTAGAAATTATTGCCTGGATCGTTCTTCTGCCAAATTTGCAGCTTAGCTCTTGCAGTAGCTGCCTGGTTCCTTTAATGTCAGTAGAAGGGGGTTTTGTTTGTTTTTTTTTAAAGCTTATTGTAAAGACAGCTGTGCATAGACAGAAAAAATGCTGTTTGGATGACTGTCACTGTTCAGAAATGGAGGTAATTGTGTTGCACCTGCATGTGCAGGTGGAACTGGCTGCTGCCTCCCTGATGTCCTCTACTCTCCAAACACCAGGAATGAGACAGCAGGTGCTGCTCTGAAGCGGGTGCTGCTTCCCTTGTGGCTCTCGGGGCCTCTCTGAAAAGATAGAGCTCTGAGATTTGGGGGCTCAAGAGATTGTGCTTTTGCTGGTTCTGCTGCTCATTCCTGGGAAACCTTTGGCATTCCCACTGCTTATTTTGCCGGCTTAGTTTTGTCTTCAAAGGTTTTACGAAAGAGTTAGCCGTAGGACAACCCAAGTGTAGCACAGGAAAGCAAAGGTGACAGAGGTGAGGGGGCGACAGCGCTTTCTGTGAACTGTTTGATCAAGTACAAAGAAGGAAGAGATACAGGTGGAAGAGCCAGACATTAAGAAATCCAGGCTGGGATGGAGAAAATATGTGATCAGAGGAGTGGAGTTGAAGAGTCTCCCCACAGGTGTGTTGGCAGCAAACAGCCCAGTTGTGAGATGGGTGAATCGCATAGCGTGTTCCCTGCTACGGCACGGAGCTCTTAGCTCTGCAGACCCATGTCCTTGAGGTTCTGTGAGACGGACTATAATCCAGGCTGAGTATTTAATCGGCCTGTCTGCAGTGAATTTAGTGCTGAGGAGCCGGGAAAGCGTAACAGCCGGCAGCATCCCAGCCCACGGAGACTTAGGAGAGCAAACGGTAAATGCACGATGTGGATCCCTGCTGATTTTTGCCTTTGAGTTGTAGCTATTTCTAACTGCCCTGTTGCAGTATCTCAAACATCTTTGCCCCTTAAAGTGCTAACCGACTCGTTGCGATTCCCATCTCTTGGCAGCCTTCGAGGATATGCTTGAAAACCCCTTGAACAGCACCCAGTGGATGAACGATCCCGAAACCGGGCCCGTCATGCTCCAGATCTCGCGCATCTTC